GAAATTAAGAATATAAATAAATCCAATAGAAAATCCCTCCTTAAGGGCCACTCAATAACATTTCCAGCAGATCCAAACTTCTTATCTGCACTCGGATCAAACAAAGCCGCTTCTATTTAAACCTATGTGCATTTCAACACTAAAAATCTTTTTTTTCTCGGTTTAAATCAGGGTTTCGCTGGTAAATTACATGTCCCGTGTGTTTTTTTTTCCCCTTTCTCTATCCTGACTCATACACTGCTGCTCTCCGGTGATGGTGTGGATTATAAAAGCGACCCATAATCCACGTCTCCGCTGGAGCCCGACTCAAACAATCAGATCCACCCGTGTGGGTAAACACATGCGTCCATATGTGCGGGTCACCGGGGGCCATTTCTGCCCCCGTGTAATCACAATTTCAGCCACTGGCCCTTTTTTCTTTATGATCCTTTCTGTGGAGAAGTGTGCTGAGCAGCCATGTTGTCATCTATAAGGTTGCAAAAGCCTTTATTTCCCTTTATTAACCCTTGTGGTGGATATTAGAATAGTTCCCTGGTTGTACTGAAGGTTTTTTAGTCTTTTTTAAGCTAATCCTAACCCTAACACAGTAAAAATTATTTTGCAGGTTTGTCCACTTACAAAGAATGCAACGATCTATAACTTTAATCATATGTACAATATAACAGTGAAAGACAGAATCCCAAAGAAAATTCCAGAAAATCACATCAGATGAATTTATAAAAATTGATAAGCATCTGATGAGGAAAAATAAGCATTTTTTTGTAAGTGGGCAAACCTGCAAAATCAGCAAAGGGGTCAAATACTTATTTCTCCCACTGTAAATGGACACGTGGAGTTCTGGTCATTCACAAAGTGAAACGGCGACATGCACAGCCCCGGGGGGGTTTGGGCGGGGGGGGCAGCCAAGACAAGCCAGCACAGGACCGGCCGGCCTCCTGCAGCCAGAAAGCACACACACACACACACACACACACACACACACACCCCCAGTCCCACCCCGCCCAGGAGGACGCCTATTGTTCCCTCCACCCTCTAAACAAAGCCTGACCCCCCCCCACCGCACCCTCCCTTTCTCCACTCTGCCCCCCAACAAACTCCCACTCCGCATTGTTGCCCTGATAAACCTGCTCCACTCCCCACATTTCAATACAAATAACCCCCCCACACACACACACACACATTTACAGTTTTCATCCAATTAACTGAGTTTATCTTGTTGCATGTTAAAGAATGCTGAAAACTTCCAAAACACTG